TAATTAGACAAAGTTATAAGGTAAAGGCTGTTATATCAGTGTACTGCACACGTGATTTCACATCAAGTCTGTTGTGAATAGGTTTGTATCTGAAGGTTATTTTCAGTATTGAGTCAGTCAGTTGATTGTTTTTTCAATTGACCCTTAAAAGTCTCAGACAATGGTGGAAAATGGGAATTGTAATTGTTTGGAGTGCAAGGTATTTAAATCTTTTACCTGACCTCCTGTGCAAAACCCAAAGTTAAACAACCAACTAAGAAAAATTAATCAAATTGATCTCCAACTTCATTCTTTGCATTCATGCAAAATTTTATGAGTTCAAATGTTCTTTGATGGGACAATCACGCTCATTAATTTGTGTTGTTACTTTATACACCTAGTACAGTATCAGGTGGAATCGCACTCATTTCAAAATTTCTCATACTCAGCAAAGTACCTGTGATGCTTGAAGCCATTGTTGCTTCATGTTTTGGCCATTTCAAATAGTATTAATGCAGATACTTTTGCATCTCCAGATATTGCATTCATTAGACCATTTTAATTATTGTGTGTGTATATCTGAGGTTCACTGAAGTGATGTTCTGCTATTCCTGTGGTGGTGAAATCACCTTTTTTTGGGAAAGTAAATGAAAAAATAACGGACATTGTAGGTAACTATTTGGACAGATTTGTTTTCAGGTAGGTCAAAAGGTTAGCGATTACATCCATAGTCAAGTGTCCCTTCAGTGTATTTTGGCACAGAGCTTATTATCAGCATATTGTCATCTTTTACAAGTCTCATGTAAATGCCTGAAGTCTGTAAGTTCCTCCTCCTGTTCAGGATTTCCAACTATGTTAACCTGACCTTCCATTGGTGGTCTCTGAACGGAGTGAACTGTGTCAAGCATGCTTCGTGCCTCATTAAGGTGTAGAAGTTGATTCCATGCCTGTTTTTAAGGGTTATTCCACCTCAGGGGCTTGTTGAATTATATATCCCTAATTCTGTTTCTTGGTATCAGACCTCATATGAAAATCAGTCCAGTGGTTGGAACATAACAAAGTCAGTGTCAAAATGACTTAATCTGACTGACCATGACTGGGAGAGAATCTACTAACTAGTCAAAGACTATGCTACAGCAGGTTTCATCACTAGTATTGACTTTTCATGGTTCATATTACAGAGGAAACTGCAGTTAACCGTCTGGATTGTTGCATTTCTTTAGAAATTTTGGCACCATTGTGCAATTTCATAGCATGGTAGTTGATCCCATTTGGGTGAAATGGATTAAGGAGCCAGAGAGCAAAGACTGTAAACACGAAGTTGCAAAGATACCCTAGAGAGACAGAAAAATGGGTAGAGTTACAGGGACAGGTGGAAAGTTTGTCTGCAGATCAGAGGAGATGAAGGAGATAAAAGTGGATAGAGAAGCAGGGGTTTGTGTGCGTTATTGCCTGGGAGCCGGTGGATATTGTGTGGGACAGACAGGTGGATGAAGAGACAAGAGGAGAGCACAGATAGGTGACCACATGTGATCTCTGCCTCCTCCTTACTGCCCTTCTTCTTCTGCTTGATCTGACCACCTGCTTTCTCTCTCACACACATACAGTCTCTCAAGTTCAGGTTTATAGATGCTTACTGGCTTGACTGACAGAACAACCTCACAGAAACAGGAGTCATGTAAAAGAAAATGGACAAATATGTTTGCCGTTATCTAGTCGTGTCCCAGTGTGACAACAGCATCACATTTTTACATCAGACACTGGAGTCTGGCCCCTCCAGTTCTCTCCACTGGTCCCTTGGTACCAGGACGTCTCTGGCCTATTGTAGTTCAACCAGAGACCACCGAGGTCAACAGATGACCAGTAACAATGGAGCTCATATAGACGGTAACAAAGGAAGTCAGTGTTGGGAATCACAGTACATTTACTCAATCATTCCTCCCACGTGTTTGGGTAGTCACACTACAGATTTCTTCTATACCCCCACAGTGTTTTAGAAATGGATGATTACGCCCCCATTCACTATCTGCCATATTGCTCAGAAAATACAAGGTTAACCTTATACAGAATAGACCAACTGCATCCATACAGACTTCAGATTTTTGACATTATGTTTTCTCCTCCATTGAGCGCTTCAGTCCTTTGTTGTGTAAGTAACTTATGTGCCCGTGCCAGTTGGGCGAGGCAGATTCCTTACACAGCTCTTGTGCAGGTGATTTCTCGCAGGATAATGTGTTGGTCCGAGTCTTGCAGTTGAGCATTGTGAGACTGAATCTTATATATCTTGCATTTGTGGTCAGAATATTTTCTCAGGGTGTGGTAGAGAGGAAGAAAACACCCTCAGACCTCGTTCTGCTGTGGACAACATCGGGAAAGGGAGGAGAGATAAAGCGAGGCGAGGAAGCTTGTTGAGCAGTGTGTGGATTCCTGTAAATTGTCTGGATGAAGAAACACTCATGTCTCTTTCATCTCTTCTCATTTGTCTATTTCTTACTCCTTTCCTGTATTCTTGGTCCCTCCATCTCTTTTCTATCTTTTTTTGAATCTCCCTCATTGTTCTCTCTCTTACTCCTTCACCCCTCTGTTCTCTTCATGTCTGCTCCTCTTTACCCCTACCCTGCATTTTTCTGTGCCATGTGTTTGCCACATTTGCAGCGCCTTTCCCTTCCTCTCGCTGGTCTGGGATCCATGGTATCTAATGCTTTCTACTCTGCCTGATTAAGTCAACACGTACCCTCCTTACATTATCACCCGCACACATACACACTTGTCCACGAGCGTTACCACAAACCTAATAGGTCCTTCTCTTAGTTCTCTCTCTCTCTCACTCACACACACACCACTCCAGACCTAACGAGAGTGGGAGAAATATGAGATTGAGTGGATAGATTGAAAACAAAAGAGTAGTGAGGGAGCAAATTCATTAAGCTACTGTTTCCAGTTCAGAAATATTAATTGTTTCTAATCAGCCTTAGTAATATCATGTAGGGATGCAGTAGGAGGGGGCAAAAAAATAGCAGCAGAGGGAGAGAAGTGGGGGCAGCTAACAGTCTGTGCAAGGCTGGTATTGAAAAGTGTCATTCAACATGCTGGTGCATTCATATTGGAACATTTCCCAATAAGCATGAAATCCTGTGATCTGTCCTCCTGCCACTCTGAGTCAAAAACACTGTTAGCCACTAAACCGTGTTCTGGTTGGCTGTCATCCATCTCACTAATGCAGCTAAACAGATGCACTGTGCTGTAATGTACCTTTGTGTTACATTACTCCACAGTCATTTGTATTGACTAATAGCCCCCTGCCCTGTGTGTGTGTGTTAGGCGAGGAGTGGGAGAGGTGCTATATTGAGTGAACAACTGAGAGCAATGCTGAACTGGATGTCTGCTGCGTTTTGTCACTGTGTGTGCGTGTGTGTGTGTGGGGGGGGGTCTTGAGGGAGATAATGTATTAAGCGAGTGAAGGGAAGAGGGAAGATGGACTAAGTATATGCACCTGTGCATGCTTGTATGTGTATGTGCATCAGATTATGATGATGAAGACTCCCAATGGGGCTCTCCCGCCACAGTCCTCCGGTAGTCTAATGAGAAGCTGTTTCCGTAGTTACCAGGTATGAGCACCAGCAGCTCGTAATATCCTGTGGTGAAGAACAAAGGACAGAGAGAGGAGGTGGTTGGAGGGGAGAGAGCAGGGATGGGCGGAAAGGTGAAGGAATGAAACGAGTAGAGATTGCTACAATAAAACCATCTGGTGTGAATGATCAATTTAGCCATGTGTCTGTATTGATGTTTGTGCTGGAGAAGACGACTGCGTCCTGCCTGCTGTGATTGAAAACACTGAATCTTTATAATAAGCTAAGGGACCTGAGCAGAGTCAGTTCAAATCAATTTCAGCTAAAGTGGGGAGGGTGACAAGCTGTCACTACCTGGTCAGATCATGTCACGCACCTTCAAAATAAAGCTGACTTGTAGTAAATTAGAGGGGTTTTAATACATTGTTCTAACATCAATAGTTCAGTGAGATTTCCTTGAAATATGAGACATTTCACAGTTATCTGCATATTTGGAGTTTTTAAAGAGATGGATAGGAGTGTGTAGTGTAGAGTTTGGTACTACACCCAAAACTGACATAGGTCACAAATTAGCTTGATTTTGCTCGTGTGTGCTTAGTCGTAGCTTTTCTCCAGTCTGATGGAAACACCCGGTCGTTATTCTGTCACATTCTTTTGCCTTGTGCATGCTTGTACATGGATCCATCTTATCCTACATATTCATTTAAAACAAAATGGTGTATAACAGTAGTAAAGCACCTTAGATACAGTTATACAGGTCAGTTATAGTTAAACATGATCTTGGCAGATTGTGTAGAAGGAAAACCCATAAAATGTTCACTGTTGAGAAACTGGGATCCTTGACTTTGAACCATTTTTGCTTAAAAATTACTTTCCCAAGATCCCTCCTGTTACAGATGACCACATACTGTATATTCTCAAGGTAGTGAAATTAATTCTGACAATGTCACACTGATGATAACATCATGGATTGTTAGAATCCTCTTGCCAACACATCACATGCGGTAGACACACTGGCCTCAAGCAGTCAAAACATACAGGTACTGTACTCCAGGGGAAGCCGGTCTTGAATCCAAGGGGGGCTTCACAGGCTGGCTGCTTGTAGGTTTTCCAGCTGTAGGCAAGCTCATATGAACAGGCACAGCCTGGAGAATATGACCATTCAAGGAAATCCCTAAACTATTGCATAAGACTTTAGTCTCACCAGCAAGAGTTCACGAGACGAGTATAAATCAAGTTGCTTCTGCATAGAAGTACAACAACATGGGTACACCTTGTTTTTTTTTTTTGTTTGTTTGTTTTTTTTAATAGCTTTGTCACATTTAAGATGATAATTCATTTCAACAATATATATGTCAAACACAAAAAAGCATGCCATTGGGCTCTTTAATGTTTGTTTCAGTCAGGATTATCAAACCTTTAAAAACATTATTGCTCTTTTTTTTAAATCAGATCTGATTCACTGCACCAATGAGATGAACGTGAACATTCCCCAGCTGGCGGACACGCTGTTTGAGCGCACGGCCAACTCCAGCTGGGTGGTGGTCTTCAAAGCCCTTATCACCACCCACCACCTCATGATGTACGGCAACGAGGTAGGAGGCTTGCATACGCAAACACCCATACATTCACACAAACAACCTTTTGTAGGGTACATCAATAAGTCAGGTTATTACTCATCTCTGTCACACATTCATAAACACCAACATAGTGTCACATTTAGATCTGTTTTTCATGTCTGTCAGCATTAAGATTGACAGTGGGAGGGTGACTAATGTATGCGCAACACAAATATTGTGTGCGGCTGATGATGATGTACACATTAAGATCCATAGAGGGAATAATTAAAATATTGTAGCTGTGCAGTGTGGGGAAATGTATCAGCTCAGTATGAGCTGGAAGCAAGATGAAGGACAAGGATAGAAGCAGATGAATAAACAAATAAATTAACTCAGTATAAACATGGTTGAAAATCAGAAGAATAATACAGTCCCTCCATGGATTTGCAGGCTTTCAAGTACAATAATTGGAAATTGAAATTCAAATCATTGCTGCTGTGTTTGAGAGAACTTTTTAAGTGTGATTTTGACCAGATCTTTCATGAAGAGGTTTGATCAAACTTCATGTCAGCAAAATGTCTCAATTTATATGCAGCAGTGCAGTGCGGCTTTTGAAATGGAGAGGACACATTAATTCAAAGAGAGCTGTAGTTTCATTCTGTGTTGTTTTATTCATTTCTTAAAAGATAGAAGTTGTGGTTTGCATTTATACTAATCCTCTAGTTTACATGCTTTAAAACATATTTAAGAGAACAAAATGTGTACTTTGATATTCAGATGGATTAGTGCCATTTGGTGCCAACTATACAGGTACGGTGTTGAATGTATAAATATAGCAGTCCAAGCACAGTGTGTTGCTTTGTTCCAGAAATGTCAAACTATTCTTTTACCATTAAGCTTATGTGCACTTTATTCATGCTGTATACAATGGGAATTGATTGTACTATCAAGCCACACATGATAGTAAAACACACCCAAATGCCGACACACCTTGCAACCACATTCCTTTTAGTTTCCATTCAAACAGAGAAGTTCTTCTTCCTCATTTAGTCACTTGTGTCGACATCGACATTACGTAACGCTTCCTTTTGCTGGTTCCTTGTTTAGTTCATTAAGCTGAAATTCCTCATAAAAGAGGAAGAGAAGATGGGTGGGCAATACTTGTGCGTTCACATACAAAAAGCCTCCAGCCTGGTTGAGTTAATTGCTGCTAAATACTGTCGCCTTCAGTAATAAGACACTTGCATGAAACCTGGACTTCACATAGAGTTCAGAGAGACAGCAGATTATCGGATGACTCCACACTAATTGCTAGTTCTGTGGAAAGTCCCGCATCATTTTTGATAAGACAAATCATGCGACGTAGGTCACTGCAGAGTAGCAGGAAGTGGTTTAAACATACACTATTACCAAGCTGTAGGCTATCACTGTCACTTTGAACCTTTTTGATGTTGTCACTTAATGACTTAACAGTGATTGCAACACCCTGTTGGATCCTAATTTCTACCTTACTAACAGGCAGTTTATAGAAGATGTTTAACCTCTAGAGTCCTGAGCTTTGGAAACCCAAGCTGTGCGGTCCTCATATGAGGACGCAGGGACTCTAGAGGTTAAAGATCGAACTCACTATGCCTTACGTTTAGCTCTTTCTTTAAAATTTTAATTCTAGTAAACAATAACTTAAATAAAGGGTATATTATACTAATATACACATTATCTATCCATCCATTATCTATACTGCTTATTCCTGAATAGGGTCATGGGGGTGCTGGAGCCAATCCCAGCTGACATTGAGCGAGAGGCGAGGTACACCCTGGACAGGTCGCCAGTCTATCACAGGGCTGACACTTAGACAACCACACACACTCACTCACTCACTCCTACAGGCAATTTAGAGTCACCAATCAACCTAAGCTGCATGTCTTTGAACTGTGGGAGGAAACTGGTGTACCTAGAGAGAACCCAAGCAAGCACAGGGAGAACATGTAGACTCCACACAGAAAGGCACCGGGTCGACCCGGGCTCGAACCTCGAACCCTGTGAAGCAATAGCGCTAACTACCGCGTCACTGCCACCTTATACTAATATAGGCCTATACTAATAAAGCTTCATATTACTGTTTCTATTATTGTATTGTCTCTCATCCCATGCAGAACAGAAGCAATATTTAGACCTGTTATCACGTTGTATTTTTTCCACATTTCCCTGTGTATATATATTTATATGCATCTAATCGCTATAGCAGATAAGTAAAATGTGTTTGGTGCTAAATAGTAATCTTGTTTCCCCGGTTTATGACAGAGCCAAGCAACACTTTAAAGTTACTAATAACTCAAGTTAAATGGGCTTTTATAATGCAGTGTTTTGTTATTAATATGCTACTCTTTAGTAGTTATCAATCTTAGATGCTACAAATGTGATGTACAGTAATTGAAAAGTCCTAATAGAACCACAGAGTGAGGCTCCAGGCTGGAGCAGAGCAAAGGTGTGTACTGCATTCATCAGGCCTGTCAGGACAGTGGTGCTGACTTGAGGCTCAGCAGCCAGGTGTCCCTGCTCCCTCATGGCCGTCCGATCCATTATAGTCAGAGCTGAGAGAAATCTGGCCATAAAAGTAGAAACCACAGACCCACAGAATTGGGGTCAATATACTACATTCTTTTCCAGATCAACATGTCAACCAGTTCCAGTTTGGTGGCAAACTGAAGATGACCTAATACAATAGCTGTTGTGACATAGGCTATAGTGAATGCGGCACAAGACTTCTGATGTTGTATTTATTGTAAGTTGGTCTGGATGTCAGCAAAATCCAGCCATATTAGATGCAGCCCATTTTATTGTGCTGTTTCTGGTAATGCTGTGTATTCAGCCAATGCTTTCAAATGAAATGTGGGAATTTACCATTCAGAGCAAAAAGCAGGTGAATTACATTTTAATCTCCTTTTCCTCAGCTACCATATTTGTTAAAGGATTTGGGATTGTGATTATAGTAGTGAAGTGTGTGTGTGTGTGTGTGTGTGTGTGTGTGTGTGTTCAGTTGATGGGCCAGTATTGATGCTCATTCAGTTCTTCACCTCCAGTTTTTTTTCTCCCTGCCAATAAGCAATCCTGTATCCGTCCCCAGTGACACTCTGGCCCTTTTCAGATGCGGCATACACAACGTTGCTGACTTCACCAGTCTGTTAAACCGACGCCTTTCTGTCATACAGACACGCATCGCTTTTATGTTAATGTTCGTCACGGCTTCATTCAAACATACCACCAACTGTGACGGAGAGAGCCACGGTACTTACAACATGGCGGATGAATAGAGTGTGTTCTCTAGGAGAATTTTTTTTCCTTTGTTATTGCTGTTCAGGGCATTCTCTGGAACGATCATGTTTTTAGTGAGCTGAGCTGCTCACAAAGATGCAAGAGATTGCATGTGCAGACACCTAATGTTATTGGTAGGCCCACTATATGTAACGACATCCTCTATTGCTACACCTCATACTTTCTCCACTGTTTGTAACTTAGGGGACAGACGTGCAGGGCACTAGTCTGAACTGTACCGGTTAACAAACGCATAAAGTTTAAATTTGAATTGAGCTTTTGAGAAACAGGGATGTAATGAGTGTTTAGTCGTTGCTTGTTATGTACCCATTGTCTCAGTTAACATTTGACAGTATACTTCCAAGCCTTTGCATCATAGGCCAGTATGTACCAAAAACAATCCAGCAGGAAATGCCAGACAATGACTGGGTTAGCTATTTTCTACCTGTTCACTCCCAGTTACTGTGCTCCTCTCCCTCCCCACTTGGGCCTCTCTCCTGTGAGTGTTTGATGCTTTGCCCACCTAAGACCTGAACAAGGCTATAGAAAGGGAGGAAGCATTGACACAGGAAAAACAGGGGAAGGGACATTTGTTCACAGAACTGCAAGAAAGGAGCAAAGATCTAGTGAATTACAGTGCAAGAGATGAGTGTTCAAGTAAGAGGGAGAAGTGGGGTCATACAGAAGTTAGTCATTTTAAAAATTGATTTTTGAAAGACTAAAAGCACTTCCTTAAGTGGGTTTTTGACACATAACCCTTCAGAAAATTTTCTTTCATTCTTTATATTTCTTGCAACTGACTCTCCAAGACTGATTTATTCACAAGTTTATGTTTTGTAATGAGATATTTGGTGGTAACGCTTTGTTTCACTTGGTTTCCAATAAGCATTATTCACTCTATTTCTGCTATAAAACAAAACACTACAATAAAATAAAATGCCACATTATATTTTCCTAACAGCATTTAAGGTATGATTATTCTAAAACAAGGTAATAACCTTGTGGATCTTTATTTTTAAATTCTTAATAAAATCTCATTACTGAACGGCTGCATAACCTTGATAACTCATAAACAAAATGAATATATGCAGCACTGATCACATGTTGCTAATGTCTCCAGAGAAGATGAACTAAATTGCAGGAAAAAAAGCTTTGGTAGTGGTGTTTACCCTCACCGGCCACTTTATTAGGTACAGCTATACAAATAGATTGTCATGACCAAGGGTCTGAATTCTTATCTAAATTGATATTTCAGTCTTTTATTTTTAATAAATTTACAAAACGCTTCAACCTGTTTTTACTTTATCATTGTGCAGTATTGTGTAGATTGATTAGGAAAAAAACGGAATATTTTAATGAGCCTGAAACATAACAAAATGTGGAAAACCTACTTTCCGTACTGACTGTACTGTGACTTTGACAAATTCACAGCACAGAGATTTGCCAGACCACAAGGTACAGTACAACACAATGCTGTGAAACCCTTTTTGGGAGTTTGTTTTCAAGGACGCCAAGTGCTCAGAAATACTACCTATCATCCTTTCTTCTTCAGGACAGAATGGCTGTAAGTGTCAGCGGGGGAAAATTACAGTCTGATTGATTGCACCTCAGTGCTTTACGAATCAGGATAGAGTGCTGTGACTCTGTACATCACAACTGGATACAGGAATAGGATGGAGTGTGTTGAAAGAGTGAAAAAAGGGTGATAGGGCGAGGGAAGGAGA